ACTCATTTAATGTTTTACCTGTATTAATATAGCGAATAAGTATTTTTCATTAACACAAACAACTCTTGAAAAGCAGGGGATCATAGTATATATAGAAGCTTTGGGATGAGGTGCTTTTACTATAAAAATATGTACCCTTGCCTACTTGAAAAGTCCATCAAGCGATTCAGGTAGCAAGCACAGCATGATTTTACCTCCACATGTCAAATCAACTGGTCGTGGTGTTCAGTGAAGAGAGAGCCATAATTAGTAYATGGAAATGAAGAGATCTCTGCAGTCCTGGGGAATGTCTACAATTCCCTCTGGTAATTAAAGAATACACACTGTACTTCAAAATCAAGTTATCTGAAGGAACTTAAGGCAGACTTCTAGTCTGATTCAGTTACTTCACATAACATTCCAGAAATGAACAATGATCTAATGATAAAAAAGGATGAAATATATGATCTTTCCTTGCTTCTGAACAACAGAATGTTGACAAAAAGGTTGCAATGAAAGGAGCAAACATTTCAGGTAAAATAAATGACAAGGAAGAAGAGTTATATTTATTTTTCAAATTATTTCCCCATAATTCCTTAAATTGTATTGTTATTTAATTTTACTTTGCTGGTATTCCTTGCTTAGAATTGCTGATTACTCACAAGATTGCTGATTACTAACCACTGCCATTTTTACAAATAGCAATTTAAAGCTTGTCCCTTTCAGATTATAAAATCATTATAAAATTACTAAAAAAAACTATAAAATTATAAACTTCAACAAAGAAATTCAAAATATTAACATTTCTGTAGTAAATTAAATGTAATTGCAAAGACATATTTCAATTTCAAAGGCAGATAACTTTTTTTCTGTTTCTAATTTGGTGCATTCCAAAAATGTGAAACATCGTGGTACATGTATTTAAAAACGTTTCACAGAGATTACATTTTTAATTTATGTGTTAAAATATCTCCTGGCAGAATATAACATTTTATTCTCTTTTAAGCCATTTTAACTACAGGCTCGCAGACAGCGCTGTGAAGCTATTGTTTAGATGATTGCCATGCTTTGCAAGTTTGTTTGCTTTAATCTGAACTTTGTTCTGCTATGTTGCTATTGTAAAATTGTTAAACAGGTAAAAATAATTCACAGTAGGACACAGGAAATGGAGAGTTTCATTAAGACAGAAGAATTGGTCCAGTATTTGTAGCCTGCTTAGCAGTAGATTTGGAGCACTTTGATCCATTAAAGAAAGCCTGGATTAGCAAACATTGCAGAAAAAAAGAACACCCCTCCACACTTGGAAGTTTTCTTTGTTGTCAAAAGCAGCATCACCTCTGAAAAATCATATAATTCGTCTACATAAAATGGCATTTTTTGCCCTTTAAAATGGGTAACAGGCAGGAGTTTGTGAAATGCTACTGAAGGGGCATAGGGAAAAAGAAAGGCATCTCAAAAAGAGCAGACAAAATCAGAGGTGGAACACGCAGGAGAGCAGGACAGAACATTCAGCCTCTCAGTGGGATAAGCAGAATACAAAAGCAAAAGCTGAAAGCCAGATGCAATTAAAATTTACTCCACAGAGCTGAGAATTATTAACTCAGTGGCTCAATGAAACTGATATCAACCAGGTATATCAAAGCACATCTATAGTACACCCCACTTAATCTGGAAATACTAACAAGTTTACAAGTATTTGACAAGCCTAAGTCAAAGCCTGGGGGAGAAATGTACGATGCTATCAGAGGTCAGTGTCTATTGGAAAAAAAAAAAAAAAAAGAAAAAAAGAAAGAAAAATAGTGAAAATAGAATATCCTCTACCACTTTCTGAAAATATACCTAAAACTATACTCGAATAAATACTAAATAAAAACGTCTAATTGGATTAGTACTCCAGATTTGCTTTCTTTCACCAAGCTATGGAGCATGTAGCTTAGATTGATTCCAAACTCCACCTGAAAACATTTCAGTTTTCAGGAGAAAAAAATAATGTTATGAATTAGACTTTGCATTAGATGTTGACTGATAGAGTAGTTTAATAACTTACACACTGATGTGTTTTAGAGCACTATTTTCTTTCTCTTGTTGAACTAATTTTCCGATTCATCACAAATGTATAAAGAAAATGCTCCAATCCTAATGGCCTTCCTAAAGGTGCAACCAAATGACACTACATTTCATTATTACTTGAACTTCTGTCAGAAATCAATAACTGCAAGTAGATTATTGTCCTCCATCATATATCTTGAAATCTCCCAAAGGACAGTTCATGTGTGTGCTTGTGTGCTTTTTCTATAGCAAACTTGGCAATATGGTAGATTCTTGTAGAAATTAAGATTTTATTTATTTTGCATTATGGCTGACTAATAACTTTAGAAGAAGTAGCAGCCAGCACTGAAAATAATACAAAAAGTCTTAGTCAATACATAGGCCCCAAGTGGATAGTAACCCTCAGACACATAGCAGCTTCAGAGGACTTAGATGAAGAGCAAACATCCTGGTTTTATGACAACAACCCTGGGTAGGAAACATATTAGAACAAAGATAAATATTCAACTGAAAAAAAAATCATAGGAACAAAAGCATTTCCTCGGGCAGAAGACAAAATAAATTAGACTTATGACTATTACAAAATTCCTAGAGCTAGCACTCAAAAATAACAACACAAGAAGCATACTAAATTAAAGAGTACCACGAGATGGCAGATAAATAGCAGATATATGCCATGACATCTGTTAGCAGTCAGCTAGAGAGATACTGAATCGATCATCCTATAGACAGTTCTCTCTCTTGGGAGACCGGCTAGTTGGGCTATAACTCCGGAGAGAGAAGAAAGCACTGTGGTCAGAGCTGAAGAGAGGACAACTGGGGCTATGTCTGAGCATAGCTAAACTAGGTACTAAACTAGGTACAGATAACAACCACAAGAACATCTTTGCTAGAAGATACACCCTGTGAGACAGGGGGTAATTCAGGTAGACATGTTCAGCAGAACCTTCCCTCTCCCTGGATATTATTATTTTCTCAAATCTAAGATGACACAAGAAGATTTTATATTAAATATGCAATGTTGGATCTGCATTTGCTTATAAATTATTGTTCACAGTACAATAATTTTCCTTCTTTAAGAAGGAAAAAATAACAAATAGCTTCTAAAGAGCTGATGTGTGTTCTTTATGGTAATGTCAGTGTCAGCATAACAATAAAAAAATTGTTGTTTTTAAAGGAAACAAAAATACAGCATTTCAGTTTTTAGGTGAATATGTCCACACACTATTTCACTGATTACAAGTGCAATTTTTACGTTGTGAATGAAGGAGGTGCTATAGCCTCCCTCAGGGTGGGCAAAGGCCATGCAACAAAAACTTCATTAGGGCCATGAAGATCATACATACCCCCACTCTATTTACCGCATTACCCTGCAAACCAGAAGACTTCATTGACAACAGAGCTCGTGAGATTTAACACTGTGAAACAATCCAAAACGTGAAGCGCATCATGAGAAGAAAGTGGGAAGTATTTGGGTAAGGCACGACTAACCATATAAGATAGTGTCTATCTTGCTTTGTGAATAATACAACACAAACCTTTAAATGGATATTTGCATAAAAGAGAACTTTTGTTAACTGTAGTGATTTTCAAAGGATAACTTTCTGTTAGGATTTTGTTATGATTGTTTTTACTTGTTTGGGTTAAATTAAGTGCTACAAATATACTATAATGTGTATACAGGGAAACTACTTGAAGACTGGTTTTAAGTTTAATTCTTACTACTTCATGAAAATGAGATTTTCAACTTAAAAATAAATCTATTTTGACTAGTAAGACTCTAGAGAGGCCAGCTCTGATCAAACCATAGTGTCTGTTTTATATTGCAGCTAAAAATAAATGTTGGTTTTATAAGGCATCTACTGTAGGGCCATCTGAGAGCTTAATTTGGCTTGAATTTGTAAATTAGAGATATATTATCCAWTTTCCTTTATTGGCCACATGGATTTTAATCTCCAAATCCCAACAATTCTCTTTCTGAGAACAGTATTCTTTCACAAAATAATTCAAAAAGCTGTAGACTTTCTTTTGTAAACCAGTAAGAATATTAATGGGGTTCACAACCAAAACATGATAACATGTGAAATATCTTGTTTTGCATGCTAATTCTTTGCAATTGTACAGAGCTTTTCAACTTCAAAGCTCTTTACATAAATTAAGTAGATGTCCCTGAAAGCCTTGGGCAAAATTTTCTTTGCCTTATAAAACAGATTTGCACCAGACAAAAGTTTTAGGACTGTGCTTTGTTACTTTCACCTCCATTTGACCTATATGTAATAATTTGTTACCACTACTTTTCAGATGGAGCAATGGAAATAGAGTTGGGTTAGGATATGCTCCTGAAAAGTCCACACTTGCCCTGTCTGTGGCAAGCTGAGCTTCTGAGAAACAAAATACAAAGTAATTTAGTTTTCTGAAGTCACCTCAACTTTATCTTCTAATTATTTCTTTACTTCCACATCAGAGATCAAGATGCCTGAAAGTCTGATGATTACCTCCTCTTGCACACCTCCTCTTGCACRCGTTATATGTAGATATAACGCCTTTGCCCAAGTAGTCAGGCAGAGAAAAATGCATTTGCTAAAGTTCAGTCAGAAGTTTTTCTTCAGTACTCTACTTTGCTTCTCCAAATTACATTTTAAAACATATGTGCTAGAAGCAGTTATGTTCCCCAAAACTCAATAGCCCTAGTTATTCTGTTATGTCATATAGATTGAAATCCTCCCTGAATTGCAACACAACAGTGTCAAGCTGAACCTTCCTTTCATTGTTTTTTGGACCCTCATGCAGATATGAAACTGTAACAGAAGGTTACAATCTATCAGACAAATCATGAGTATTTTTTGTTTTTCAAAATGAGATTTTTTGCTGAGTATTTTGTAGCATTAGCATCAACAAGCTTTTTTTTTTTTTTTTTTTTTTTTTTTTTTTTTTTTTTTTTACCATTTTTTATGCCACTTCACTGGACACAGGGAGTAACATATTAGGACTTTTTATTGCTTGAGTAGAAAGTGCTCATTACCTATTTATGTTTATATATAGGAAAAAATATAGTTTCTTCAAGTGGCATACATCACACTGTTGTGGTGGTTGATTTCCTCAGGATGGTCTTCTGGGGTTTTGTTGCAGTTTGTGGAGGCACAGTTGCAGGTCTCGGAGGAGGAAAGCTATTACTGGAACTTATCCCCAAGCCTCCATTTTCGAGGGAGAATGGAGGCAGCAGAGGTGGAGGAGGCGGCAGAGGGCACTGGTGTGGAGGCTTCCCCGCGAGGCGGGCAGGCTCGCTGTGCAAGTGCACCTCCCTGTTTCTAATGTTATATCGAACATCACAGTCAGGGCAGTAGCCATGGTACTGCACTTTTTCACTAAATCGTACCCGTTCCCTCGTCCCTGGCGGTGGACACCGTTCTTTCTCAGGTCTATGCGTCAGAGGCTGCATGGCAACTTTGTCCAAATTACTGTTGGGTATACAGCATACATCCCCATTCGGTACACGGTTTGGCCCTCCTGGTAAGCCCCCGTTTCGCAGCAGAGTTCCATTTGTCTTCACGGGGTTGGCAGAAGGAAGCGGTCTTGGGGGCTCATCGCACTTGACGGGAGTCAGCCGTGGTGGCGGAGGTGGGGGGTTGGGTTTCCTCAGCACGGTGAGGATGGCGGAGGGGTGCGCGGGGGGCTTGATGAGCGGTGTGCTACCTTGCACCTTGATCTTCTCCAAGCTGGAAGCCGTGGTGCTGCTGGAGCTGCTGTTCAGCGTGTCTGTCTTGGAGCTGTCCGTCATCTCATCCTCCAGCTGCAGGTCAGATGTCAGAGTGTCAATCTGGTCAACAACCTGCACAACAACCAGAATGGGAACAGTGAGAAAACCTTTCCATGGTGAAGGTAAGGAAAACAAAAGTGACTTCCAAAATCGTTTTTTATTCCCTGATCAGGACTGAAGTATGGAATTTTTTGACCATTGTTCCTTTTTCCTTTCTGCTAGTTTGATAATAATAATAATAATAATAATAATAATAATAATAATAATAGCAGCAACAATAATAATGGGACAGCTAGCTTGCTAGTTCAACACCTGAATACAAAATAAATGCAACTTGCAATATATTCTGGAATGAAATTCTGTTTCTTCCCCTCTAGGGTTTACTTGGCAATATCACTGTATGCGAATTGTAATCCTTCAATAATATGTTTTGCCTTCCAGTGCAGGAGGAGACTGAATTATTTAACTTCAACTTATACATGACAGTTTCTGAATCCAAATCTACTGCAGGATAGCTCTTAGCTTTGACCTGTTAGAGAATCTAGACTTAAATATGCATCTCAGTATTGGTAGTATTATACATGTACAGTGGAAAGTTTGATACAGTCCTTTCTGACTGTTTTCCACATAAATAATTTAGGTATAGAGAAGGAACTACTCCCTCACCCCATATCAGACTGCATGTTATCCTGCTGGGAATATTTTCCTTTAGTTTTGTTATCCTTTGAAGCAATTTTGATATAGCATTTCTTGCATGAAAAGTAGCTTGATTTCCAAAGTTACAAGTATTTATAAACTCATGCATTTTATTCTTAGTTCCCCTCTACATTTCATAGTTTTGTTTCTGATCACTTTTAGTTTTACTTTTCCAATTTCTTTTTTTTTCCCCCTTGTTTTTATGAAGGACATTTAACTGATGGTGCCTTTACTAGCTAGGCATAATGTGCAATACATTAGTTAAAAGCCCATCCTGAAAATTGTATTCCACTTAGAGGTGAGATAATTAAGTCAGTCTTAATCTAAAAGTAACTACAGAGAACAAAGCACGGGAACTAATTCCAGGTTTCCAAATCAATCTTTCTCTTTGCCTTATTTCCTTACAAAATTTACCAAAAAAAAAAAAAAAGAAAAAAAAAAAAAAGAAAAAGTAAGAAAGAAAGAAAGACCAGAAGTACAAATAGAAGAACTCAGGAACTCATACTTTGAGTAACTGTAGAAGACCTGTGACATTCTTGGGGGCAGCTGGAGGCTAGAGAGGGCATCTTAGTGCATGTCAAATGAAACTAGATGCCTCTACTTGGACAGCTGCCTGTAGTATCAACTATGCTCCTCTGAGATTTTCATTTTTGCTTCCTATTATCATACTTCATCATCATGCTGTTTACTTCAGAGTAAACTTATTTTAGAGTTGAAAAAGCCATGTGTTAACAACTGCAAGATGGTGGAAGTGATTTCTAAAGGCAGCAACTCCTGAATCATTTAGTCGTACACCTAACTCTGTTGTGAACCCACTGGTAAACAGTAAATGACAAAGGCAAATGTAAGAATTGTTCTGCTTCCATCACTTAATCATAATTGAGAGTTTTGTATTTTAAATGTGCAAAATTTACATGCAGTAATTTAGTTCTCTTTATGAAGGTCAGTACCTTCATTCTCCTAAAAGCAGCAAATACATAGGAAAACATGAGGAAGGAAGAGGGCTTCCAAAAACCTCTTTCAAAAGTTTTACTATACTTTTTGTTTTACAGACCAACACAGCTACAAATATATTTACAGACAGAAGCCCTAACCACATTTTGTTTCAGTCTTTACTTCAGCATGTCTTTCCAAGAAAGGATAATGAAAAAATTATACCCTTTGAAGATAAATGTATTCCCTAAATAATCAATCCATGAGAAAGGCCCAGCTGAAATAATAGGCATATCCTAAACTTCTCCTCCAGGGTACAGCATACACCTACTTTTGAAAACTCGTAAGTAAAAATCTGTGATAAAGCAATGCAAGAATCACGGTGAGAAGGGGAAAGAACTCACATTATCACCACATATTACAAACATAAACCAAGGCAGAGAACCACAAAAAACTTTTCAAAATGAATTAGTGACTCTAAAGGCATAAGGAAATGACATGTGTTCAGGGAAGTAGGAACTTCAAGGATCCCTCCGTAAGTTTTGTCTGTATTTGTGTCAAAATTAGGTCCTGCCTGCATACAGCTGAATATTTCAGTGAATCCCTTTCTGGAATCCAAGTGGTAAAGTGTTTGTAAACTATCAGCAACAATCACAGAGGTGACAACTGCAGTACAAACTAAAGGAATCCCATGGCACACAGAGAAATAAATACATACATACATACATACATATTAGAGAATTGAAGGCAAGAGAGAAAGAAAAGATATCTACAAGAATGCTCAGCTCTGGAGTATTTGGTAGCTTGTAGTTGTGAATGTAAATTGGTCTAACTTATAGTATCAGATAATACTCCAAATCAGGAACTGTTTGTGCTAAAACATTATATAAAAGCTAAATTAAAATGCCAAGAGTTTCTTATTTATGAGCTTCTTTAGAGATTAGCTTATTCCTACAAGTCCTACTTTTATTTTGCCTCTATTTTATACCATGATACCCCCTGAAACATTTTTTGGAAGCATACAGACTATAAAAATCAGTATCATGAGTGAGGAAAGACACAACAGTGGTTATGGAAAAAACATCCATGAAAAGATCCCATAGTTATTATTTAAATAAACTACAAAATTGTCCTAAAGTTATTATAATTCACTCATAATTTTCAGTATTGAATACAGAATACAGAAGAAAGTAAAAGTATGCACAAAATTCTGTCTTACTTTTTTCCCAGAGCTTCAATCACAAGCACTGTCTTCCTTGCTCTAAGCTCTTGTATGTGACATAAGGATGCTTTTTTTCTCCACAGTGCCCAAAATGAATCTACCATATACACGATGGAAACAAAACCTGCCATTTATTCATAAAAGACCAACACATTAAAGGTTATATTCCATTGTTGCTATGAGGATATTACTGTAATTATGCATCACTCTTGTGTCATAAAATGGCACCATTGATGATGACACCACTTAAGTCCATTCAAACCACCTTTTTGACAGTGCAAAAATATTTTGTAGATAACAGGGAATTTGAGTCTTAAGAATGGTCCTTGAATTTAAATAACTGTAGAGTTTATCTCTTGCCCTCCAGCAAGTATGTAGTACACATTTGAAATTCTATGTCACCTACCCATTTGTAAAGCAGAAAAAGAACACAAAACAGCTCTGACAGCACAACATAGTTTATCTGTCCACATTCATTCCCACAACAAGTTGTGATCCTATTTACAGTTGTTTTCTCTTGGTCTTTTGCCCCCTGGAGGAAAAATTCAAATAGGATGAAAAAGTAACAGAATAGGTGACTAATACTAATACAGCAAAATTGATGCAGTAAATAAATAAAGCAAAAAAAGAACAAACTGAAAGTTACTGTATCTCTATTCTGTAAGAGTGAAGCAAAGAATATTTAAAAACAAAAATGATACTCTAATTGTGCATCTGTTCATTTGTGTTAATACACGCGTTCAGCCCAAACCTTTCAACTTCACATCTAAATTCTTCAACATGTTGAAGTTTTGTTTATATCATCACTTTAACAGTAAAATATGCACAACAATTTGGTGTGTTTATTATATAATAAAGAGAAAACTGAACTGTTGGAGTAAAGCAAATGTAAGGCAGATACCATTTTTATCTTTCGTCTCCAGTTATTTGATTAACAATTACATTAAATTACATTAAATTAACAAACTTTGCATTTGCATGTTCTTTCACATTTTTATGCAAACACTCATTTTCTTCTGGTCTTTCTAAGACTAGACAGAAGATCAACAAAAGCAACAGCATTGGTAAAGCAGGGGTCTAAGAATTATATTCATCATTTAGAACAGGTAATCAATCATTTTGAATTATATCCCATCTCTACCGAAATTCAAAGAGCAAGGGTTAATTCAAAAATCTAACACTAGCTAACAGCAATTAAGAATAACACATAAAGTCCTAAGTGAACAAAAGCAGAATTACATAAAAGAATTTATGATTATATTCAGTAGATCTGGGGAAAGAAAAAAAAAGTGAACTATAAACATACAATTTAAGAAATAGTTCAATGCCCAAATGCCAAATGCACCAATGCTTCAAAATCTGTTAACTGAGGCGGTAGATCAACTCGCCTTGCAAACCACTTTCTCTTGTTGAGTACCTAATCACAGGAAAAATTAATGTTGCATGATTATAAGAAGATGACAGATGTTGGCTAGAGCAAATGAATGTCAAGACATTTGAGTTCTTGCTTGTCACTAATCTTTAATATTTTTAAAATTTCTTGTAATAAATCTCTACCAAAAAAAGTTTCCACAAGATATGTACAGTAATAATTTCAATATGATTAATTGTAGAGATACAAAATTGAAAAAAATCCCATACTGTAGGAAGTAATCTGGGGTACTTTCCTGATATTAGCAACAAACAAATCTTTAGAGGATGCTATAGATATTTCAGGTGCTTTACAGACAAGCAAAATACCACACTTCTCTCCACTTCAAGAATTTTCAGTTTAGGATTACACACAGACAGAAAAAAAAGAGAACAAGAACAAAATTAAACTAAAAGGTAAATGATACATAAGTGTTTACAAACTGCCAGCTGTGTTTAATTTTAATAGCAGTTTTTTGTTAAAGAAATGTTATGAATCACACCTATCAATGAAGTACCAGTGAAGATAAAAAGAAGCAGTCAGAAGATAATCAAAGTTGTGGGGGATGGGATCACTGTGTGCTCCAGAGAGAAGGTGGATGAAACAAAGCACTTGTGCAAAAGCTCACAAATCACCATTGAGAAAAGGAAAACATTAAGTTGGCAGGGATTGATCAGACTGACAACGTGTCAGCTAACGTTTAGTTGGAGTAGGCAATGAGGCTGCACAACTATGATTAGAGACGTGGGTGCAAAATAAACGATCAAAGGCACTCTGGACACATTCTAGGTTTAAAGTACCAAAGGTGAA